GGCTTGCCCGTATCCTGCCAAGGAGGAGGGGTTAGGCGCCCCCAGGCCCAGGCAACGGTGTCTGCATGGCGAGCCCCGAGCAGCAGGAAGGGTCCCCTCTCCTCCCCTCTACCCCCGCCGGGCGAGGGGCCGCTGCGACGGATCTCCCGGGGGCCACACGCATGGGGACAGCACGCTCATGCTGTTGTGGGCTGCTCTGCTGCCAACTACACCTGGCCTTGCCCTGCACCATTGTGCACGGGACCGGGTGGCACTGACAGGCCCCTCCCCGTTAATAGCCCCTGGGCTGGGGCTGGATGCCAGCAGGACCCACATTAGCTAGCCCTGCCACGTCTCCAGGGCCACGTGAAACTGACGAAGGCCCAGCCTTCTGCCCAGCACCCCGGGAGGGAAGCGGATCCGGGATGCAGGCACGGTCTGCATGATGAGCACCACTCCAACGCCTGGCTCCCTGTAACTGACCCCTCCCGGAGGCACAGGACTCGTCAATCATTTCCTCTGCCCACCAGCCAGCTGGTGCGTGCCAGGGAGGGAGCCACGTGGGCAGGCAGAAATGAACTCGGCAACGTGGGCAGCAGACTCCTACCAGGCAGGTCGAGGGCAACGGCGCGATAGCCTTCCTCTGTCAGCAGGGCCAGCGTCCCCAGCTCCTCCCACGTCTTAGAAGTGAAGGCCTGGCCGTGCAGCAGAACCACCTCCAGCCTGCAGAGCACAACAGAGACCGTCAGAACGGCCACGCGGGATCAGACCAACGGCCCATCCAGCCCAGTGTCCTGTCTGCCCAGAGTGGCCAATACCAGTTGCCCCGGAGGGAGGGAACAGAACAGGGAATCCTCGCGTGATCCCTCCCGTCACCCACCTCCAGACAGAGACTAGGGACACCATTCCTAATAGCCATCGATGGACCTAACCTCCATGAATCTATCGAGCTCTTTTTTGAACCCTGTTAAAGTCCTAGCCTTCACCACATCCTGTGGCAAGGAGTTCCACAGGTTGACTATGCGCTGAGTGAAGAAAACAGAGGCTGTTTTTGTGTTTACCAGGAGCAGAGTTTGGGGCTTTCGGATGGCAGACACTATGTCGTGCGTGTCACGCTTGTGACAGACAGCCCTCCTCATACTTTATGAAATGGACTTATGGACACAAATATACATCACTCAGAGATGCTTTGGTCAAAATATTATTTTGGTGTGTGTATCATTCTTAGGTGTAAAATTAAAAATATGGGCTGCGTCCAGACTGGCAAGTTTTTCCGCAAAAGCAGCTTGAATTTCCGCAAGAACACTGATGATCTCATGTAAGATTGTCAGCGTTCTTGCGGAAATACTATGCTGCTCCCGTTCGGGCAAAAGTCCTTTTGCGCAAAAGGGCCAGTGTAGACAGCTCAGATTTGTTGTGTGCAAAAAAGCCCCGATCTCGAAAATGGCGATCGGGGCTTTTTTTGTGCAAAAGTGCGTCTAGATTGGCACGGACGCTTTTCCGCAAAAAGTGCTTTTGAGGAAAAGCGTCCTGCCCATCTAGACACGCTTTTCCGAAAATGCTTTTAACGGAAAACTTTTCCGTTAAAAGCATTTGTGTAAAATCATGCCAGTCGAGACATAGCCATGTAGTAAGGAACACTCTATGGTTTTAAATGTGCAAATTAAAGCCATTAGGGGTGTTATCCTCAACGTCTAGATGACCCGTGAACAGTCTTCTTTGTCCTTTAAGTCTTAGCAGTGGTTGGTCTTTAGGAAGTCGGGCAGCGCCCCCCAAGTGGCAGTGTCTGACCAGCTGTGATTTCCCATGTAAGGGTGGAATGTAGGAACAGCATTGCTGCCCGAGGTAGGAATCTATAAAACAACAGCAAGCGAGCAGTTTGGCTGGCTGGCCTGGCACTCCCCAGAAAATGAACCGGGCACCCGAGGGAGAGGGACTGTCTCTGGTTGAAAGGCTTAGCTGGAATAAGAACAGTTTTAGGGTGAGTTTGTACTGAGGTTTTAGTTTCACAATTAGCTGTGTGTTGGTTATTTTAAATGTGTAATTCACTTGGCTCTGCCTGTTTTCACTTGCAGCCACTTAAATCCTACAATCACTTTTATTTACCACCAAGCCCGGTGTAAATAATTGTTACTATGGGGGGGGCAATCTGTGTGTACATTCCCCCTTTCATTACTAAAGGGGGTTTACCCGAATCATTCATGTGGGGCTCTGATCCCAGTTGGGGCGTGGTATCCTGGGAAGCTGGGCCCAAAACTGCTCTTTCCTTGAACCTGAAGAGTTTCAGGGTCTGTACTGCTCCGGGGTGGGTTGGGGTCTCAGCTCGGTGCCTTGGCTGGGAAAGACCAGGGAGGCTGGCAGCAGGACAGAGTGGTGAGAAGCCTCAGAGAGTAAAGAGGCAAGTGTCAGTGGCTGTCAGCACATGGGGGAAGCAGTCCTGGGGGGTCTTCTGTATCCCCCCATGTGACGGGGTGCCGAGACCCCGCACCCAACCCCCAAGACTTTGTGCCCTTGCAGAAGGGCAGCGAGGCACCTACCGCCGCTGTGCCGGCTGCTCGCACGCCGCGGCTCAGCTGAGCAGTGCCGCGGCTCAGCTGAGCGAAGCCATGACTCAGCTGATTGGCACTGCCGCTCAGCTGGGGAGACGCGGGG